GAATGGTTTTGTTGTGTAGTGGTGAACGTTATTACTTGAGTGTTCAGTTCTAATGCAGGTAATGCAGGATGAACTAAATTAATGTTTAGCTAACAAACAGATTTAGTTCTGGAAATCAAAGCAACAAGTAAAAGGAATGAAAATAAAAGCCCGAGGTCCTCCCTCTCCAACCCAAAGATTCTTAAATTATACACCATCCCATTTACTGGGCCCTTGGCTATCTTCAGCTTGTGATAGCTTAATTAATTGTGCACGCCCACTTTTTAGCCCCACGAGCCGCCCCTGTCCACTAGTGACACTCTTCAGTCGCTCACCCGCCCAATAAATTCGCGTAGACCATAGACTCGAATTATAATTATGTCCTAAACAGTGCACAGTCATGACCAGCGCTCTTAGATCCAAAAACAAAACAAAACAAAACAAAACAAAAACTTCGGTGCGAAGCGAGTGCACCCTGGGCGCCCAAAAGAAGGGCAAGACCCTTCTGTCATTACAGCCGAATGAGCACAGCACCTTCTCCCCCATTGTCTTTCATCTGGCTCCAAACTGAATCAAATTCTGCACTCCATGGTGAACCGGGATTACATCAGAGTAAGATCAGAGTGCATAGTCTAGGATACTTCATTCAAATGTCAGCTGAAGTCGTTTCTGTTTTTAAATCAATAAGATGAATATTAGGAATAATTTTCTATAGTCAGAACACAATGTTTTATGTTACTGTTGTACGTTGTACTGTATTGTAAAGCGCTCAGAGCCTGTGTACTTTATTCGGGGTTGAGCGCTATATAAATGTCATTTATTATTATTATAATACTACTATACCTGTCTATAGCGTAGATTTACCTATAACATTGCGCTACCTTATTTTAAATTATTTTGTTGGTAAGTGTTTTACGGCACTCGCAACTGCATAAGATCATATGAGCTCGCGGGACACACCTAATATTTTTCAGTTGGTAGGAAATTTTGAATTTTGCCCGGGTGGCGGCCGAAGCCTACTCTTTATCGATTTTAGACCACCAAGGGATCTTTAACGTGCGCAATTTGCACACAGGCCCTCCGAGATTTTTCGCTCTTGTCCGAGAAGGCTAGGTGTAGACCTTTCCTACCAGAAGGTCAGAGGTGTGGCTGAAAGACAGCAGTAAGAAGGAGCCAAGGAGTAGCAGTAGAAAGGTTGCAGAAAGAGCCAGGAGCCCAGAGGAGGGGCCAAAGGAGGTGAGGGGGTGGGGGCAGAAAGAGGAGACGAAAGCAGACGATAGAAATTTGCTAGAGAGCAGGAAAGGAGGTGAAAGGAGACAATTTTAGGGAAGAAACTTTTTCGGTCGTTACCCGGATTTGAACCCGGGACCTTTGAATGAGATGTCAACGCCTAAACCTCTTTTCCACGAGAGCCCCCTGCGCTACCTTAAAGTTACGAAGTTTTATCTGAAAATTTTAGCCGTTTTGAATTATTAAGACCACCAGGCCAGAAGCCAGAGGTTCTATCTGCTCCATCAAAATCGTAAGATTATTCAGAGTCGTTATAAAGAGTTTCAAAGAATTGCATTCGAGAAAGCTTGACAAGATGTAAAGCTCCAACATTTTAAACGTCACATTTCTCAGAACTAGGTACTGTCCCACACCTTCTCAAATTGATTCAAATTGTGCGCGCCATAGCGAACCAGAAGTACGTCACATTCCACAGTCTATTATACATACCATAATACAAGTCGATGGCGTTATGCCGGAACTTACCTTTAACATTAGTACATAAGTACTTCACAGCCTCACGGACCTTGTCAGCATCAAACATACTGCGCAAGTAGTGGGCGGGGTCACTCTTGTCATGTTCACACTGGGCCTTGATCCTTTCGATACAGTTCACCGCAGTCAGGAAACCACCGTTACTGGGGGCAAACAAAAAGTCTTTTTCAAGGTGGGGCTCATGGGGTGGGCTTAAAGTGAAAAAAAAGGAAGAAGAAAGCAACAAAATCAGAGCTGAACAACAGCAATAACGAATAATAAATACTAAAAAGAAATATAATAATACAAAGATCTCTCGTGTCAGCTGTATTCAATTGAAAATTTTAGTCACTGTCAAAGCCATTTTCATAACACATATAAAGACAATAATAAAAGCTGTCGGTGTTACTCCAGCGTTGGAATCCTTTGAGTTAACGTCCGTCGTCCATTTAGCCTATGTACATTTTACCTTGTCATAAACATGATTCCCAGTCCACCACTTCCCCTCCTTGGCGCCACTGCCCCCACCCTTTTTTTTTCTCCTCTCCATCTTTTCTCGCCATTAATTAGTTGTCCGGAGGTCCATCCGAATGTGCGAACATGATCTTTTACAGGGGAAAACCAGATCAAAGTCTGCTAGTTTGAGAAAGGATGACCACTGGTCGACAAGTGCTAGTCTTAGAACGGATGGCCTCTGGTCAACGTCTGGGAGTCATAGAACGGATGGACATTGGTCAAATGGGCCGATCTACTTGATGAAATTAGATAGGATAATGGGATTTTTTAAAGTAAATGTTTTTACATCCCCACTGACACAATTTAGATCATTCAAGAGGCGGGCTTCGACACCACAGGGCTAACCAAGGCTGAGAAGGATACAGCATCCAAGCAGAAAGACAATGGTACTCTATAAATATTCTCCCCATTCAAGAATCGAAAGTGGGTCTCCTGTGTTTGACGGCAAAGCGCCTAACCGCTTCACCACAGACGCCTAGATTATATAGTGGCACTGGCATATGCACGCTGGGTAATCTATATCTATTATCTATTTGTGGTGGCCGAATTTTGCAGTTCAAAAGGCTTTTTAATGGCTGCATCGATCGACATGCGGTTTTCGACAAACGATTCTTAAAAATATTCTCCAGATCATGACGCCCTTGGTTTATTTTTCAATTTTGAGACAGTTTTGCTGCTAAAAGCAAAATTTCTTTATTTCGCCGATCGCTTTTGTAGGCCGGTGCTTGTCTCTGTAATTTTAGAAAACCCGGAAGTGATATTTCGCGAGGCGCATTTTGTTTTGCGAGTATAGATCTAGACCTTCTAATTTTTTGCATCTCTCAATGTATTGCCCCATTCCAGTTGAGTGTAAATAAAGTAGGCCAATAACTTTTATTTGACATATATAAAGCACCGATCATTCCTTTCATCGAAAGGGGCCCCAGCTAGTATATATATAAACTAGATGGACCCCCTTTCGATGAAAGGAATGATCGGTGCTTTAATATCAAATAAAAGTAACTGGCCTTCAAGGGGAGAGGCGTGAACCCTGTTTTTCTGTTTCCCCACATAATTAGATCTAGATGTTTTGCTATTAGGTTTGAAATTTTTTGAAAATAATTGATTTGCAGCAACTTTAATGGCCATATTGTGATCTGCAGAAAAAAAAATCACAGCCGTTTGACCCTAAAAGCAGTGCATCTGTGTGGAGGAGTGAAAATTTACCAGCTGCCCTCATTCCTCCTAGTTACCTATCCGGGGGATAGGTAGGACAACAAATGAACAATAAGATTTCATGCGCAGACGATGAGCTTTCACTGGGGGAACGTTCTCTTGACTTAAACCGCACACTGTATCAAATAGACCTCAGCCTTACTGCTTCAGGTCTGACAAGAAATCCATTAAGACCTATCGCATACTACGCGGAAGCAAACGATCTGGCCAACAACGCTATTGTGATATTTAGAAGCATTCCGATTGGCCTTTTCACCTTTCTATATCGGATAATGGCACTGGACTGTGTTACTGTATCAAAATAGATTTCAGATTGATAGATTTACTTCGACAGATTTGACTTAAAGCGCAAACAAAAGACCTGACCCACCAAACCACGTGACTTATAATGATTTGTGTCACGACGCAGAGGAACCAGAGGCTCGACTATTTGTGGGCACAAGGAGTTGAAATTATTGGTATCGTTTTCAAGCCTGTTCGTTACTTGACTTGCTTTGGTGAAACAAAAATGCCAATCGAGTTTGAAAAGAAATCGAGATATTTGCGATTAACGGAAGTGAGGTTCGCTTGGTGCCAAAGGTAAACTTCTTGAGAAAATGGCCACAAAAGTTTGGTGACTTCCAAAGTTTGAGTGTCCTTGGAAACAGCAGATTTACATTTTTTGTGTCTTTGATCAACGTTTTTCAGCAAAATCCACTCAGATAAAATGTGTTTTTAAATGAACATATAAAGCGTTGATCCAAAAAGACATAACAAGTGTTGAAAAAAGGAGTTCGAAAATGAAAATTATGTGAAAAAAAAGTGCTCCACAGCCAGAAAAATGTCGGGTTCTTTGATCTCATTATTTTGACGAGAGCCTGATTTCACCACAATGCCTCACATAAAGTCTTCTAATTGACTTTTCTATTTTTCTATATTCCTAACCATATTACCAACGGTGAAAGGCAGCCCGAACAAAGGCGTACCACAATCAGGAAGCTGGCAGACGACCTGTATTCATTAGAAACCTTAACAATAGTGTTAATTATCGCGCCCGAGATTCCTTCCTTAACACTGACCGTGTAGTTTCTAGAACAGGGAAGCGATGTGAAACTTTCAAAACGGGCTAATTAGAAGAACCTCGACGAGTGGTCTGGAAGAGCTACAGTGGAAAGTGCGAGAAGTGAAACAACCTCATCATGATTAATGAAGAGAATTTCCACCCCGCCCCCTTTTTTGTCGGTGTCCTTTTGCTTCAATAACTGTCGATTCATCCTCTCCCTTTCAACCCCCGCCCCATCTAAAAAAGACCCCCCCCCCCACTTTCCACACACAGAAGACAAAGCAAAAACAAAAGCTCCTCCTCTTAAAAAAAAGACTCCCCCCTCCCCAAGCTAACAAAACAAAAGTTCCACCAAAAATCCCCCCACCATCATCAACAACAACAAAGAAATAAAAGGAAGGGAGGAAGAAAGAAAGAAAGAAGAAAAGAAACAAAGAAACAACCAAACAACCAAAAAACCCAACCAAACAAACAGACAAAACAAAATAAACGCAAACAAATCCAACAACAACAGGGGAAAAATCCGCCCACTCTTTCAAGGGTAATCCCGCAAACACAGCTGACAGCTTACTCGTGCATTCTTCAAATAAAAGTTACAACTTTCGCAACTGGTGGCAAAGACTTGGCTTTGAACGCTTATTATATTTTCTTCCCCCTTCCGATAGTGGACAATCTCAGGAGTGGCTGCGAGAAAGCTTGCTTGTTTGTCCGCAGATGTTACTCTAGTTTGGCGCACACAGAGTCGAAAAACTCAACCAAAACATTTGTGTTTTTCTGGGTCAAGACTCAGGGGGTAAAACTATTACTACAATAACCAAATTTTCAATAATAATTAAGACAAATCCACCCCGCCCCCACCCTTTTCCCACTAGAATGATAACGTTGATATCATTATGATCCAAGGGGTTCTTGCCTCACTTTTGTAAAAAAACAAACAACAACAACAACAACAAACAAAAACAAAACAAACAAACAAAAAAAAGCAACCAAAAAAAACCCACCCCCCAAAAAAAACCCACCTTGGAAACCAAAACAAAAAAATTCAAAACCAACCTATAATCAAACAAATTTTTAAAAAATGAACAAAAACATGAAGCATGCCAGACTAAGCTCCTTTAGAGCTAAGTCCACGGTTCTTAATACAAGCTAAATGAGGATCAATCCCCCGAAGACAACAATAATCATTTGAAAAATATGCTTTTGGTCTTCCTCCTCCTCCTCCTCCTCCTCCTCCAACAACAACAACAACAACAACAACAACAACAACAACAACAACAACAACAACA